TGGAGGGGACACCGGGGACACACGGGGCCATCGGGGACAGGACGGGGACACACGGGGGACACCGGGGACAGGACGGTGGCACTGCGGGGGACACCGGGGACACGACGGGGACGGGTGCGTGTGGCAGGTGCCCGAGGCCATCCGGAAGTGCCAGCGCGCGGGGATCACGGTGCGGATGGTGACAGGCGACAACCTGGACACGGCGCGCGCCATCGCGGCCAAGTGCGGGATCCTCCCCGCGGGCGGCGGCGGCGACTGGCTGTGCCTGGAGGGGAAGGACTTCAACCGGCGCATCCGCAACGACCGCGGGGAGGTGGCACTGGGACAGGGACTGGGGACACTGGGATAAGGACTGGGGACACTGGGAATGGGATTGGGGACACCGGGGGCCACTGGCTGTGCCTGGAGGGGAAGGACTTCAACCGGCGCATCCGCAACGACCGCGGGGAGGTGGGACTGGGGACACTGGGACAGGGACTGGGGACACTGGGATAAGGATTGGGGACACTGGGACAGGGACTGGGGACACTGGGAATGGGACTGGGGACACTGGGGGACACTGGCTGTGCCTGGAGGGGAAGGACTTCAACCGGCGCATCCGCAACGACCGCGGGGAGGTGACACTGGGACAGGGACTGGGGACACTGGGACAAGGGACTGGGGACACTGGGATAAGGACTGGGGACACTGGGGGACACTGGCTGTGCCTGGAGGGGAAGGACTTCAACCGGCGCATCCGCAACGACCGCGGGGAGGTGGCACTGGGGACACTGGGAGGGACTGGGGACACTGGGACAGGGACTGGGGACACTGGGATAAGGATTGGGGACACTGGGACAGGGACTGGGGACACTGGGACAAGGACTGGGGACACTGGGAATGGGAATGGGGACACTGGGATAAGGACTGGGGACACTGGGGGACACTGGCTGTGCCTGGAGGGGAAGGACTTCAACCGGCGCATCCGCAACGACCGCGGGGAGGTGACACTGGGGACACTGGGAGGGACTGGGGACACTGGGACAGGGACTGGGGACACTGGGAATGGGACTGGGGACACTGGGAATGGGAATGGGGACACTGGGGGACACTGGCTGTGCCTGGAGGGGAAGGACTTCAACCGGCGCATCCGCAACGACCGCGGGGAGGTGACACTGGGACAGGGACTGGGGACACTGGGACAAGGACTGGGGACACTGGGAATGGGATTGGGGACACTGGGAATGGGAATGGGGACACTGGGATAAGGACTGGGGACACTGGGGGACACTGGCTGTGCCTGGAGGGGAAGGACTTCAACCGGCGCATCCGCAACGACCGCGGGGAGGTGCCTGGCCCAGGTGTGTGGGGATGTGCTGGGGGGGTTCAGGTGACCCCGGGGGGTCCCGGGGTGTCCCCAGGGGGGTCCCTGGGTGTCCCTGGGGGTCTCAGGGGGTCCCTGGGGGTCCCGGGGTGTCCCCAGGGGGGTCCCTGGGTGTCCCTGGGGGTCTCAGGGGGTCGCTGGGGGTCTCGGGGTGTCCCCAGGGGGGTCCCTGAGGGTCTCAGCCCCCCCAGGTGGAGCAGGAGCGCCTGGACAAGGTGTGGCCCAAGCTGAGGGTCCTGGCGCGGTCGTCGCCCACCGACAAACACACCCTGGTGAAAGGTGCGAATGTGGGGAGGGGTCCCGGGGGTCCCGGGGGTCCCGGGGGGGTCTCGGGGGGGTCTCGGGGGTCTCACCTGTGCCCCACCTGTCCCCAGGGATCATCGACAGCACCATCGGGGACCAGCGCCAGGTCGTGGCTGTCACCGGCGATGGCACCAACGACGGCCCCGCCCTCAAAAAGGCCGACGTGGGGTTCGCCATGGTAACGCCCCCTCCCCAAACAGCGGGACCCCTCCCCAAACAGCGGGACCCCTCCCCAGATAGCGGGACCCCTCCCTGAAATGGGACCCCTCCTCAAAATGGGACCCTTCCCCGAAATGAGACCCCTCCCCAAATATCGGGACCCCTCCCCGAAATGAGACCCCTGCCCAAAATGGGAGCCACAGGACCCCTCTCCACATTGGGACCCCCGGGAACCATCCCCAAATTGGGACCCTCAGAACCCCGCTCCAAATTGGGATTCCTGAGACCCCTCCCCAGATTTGGACCCCCAAGACCCCTCCCCAAAATGGTACCCTGGAGAGCCCTCCCCATATTGGGACCCCTGAGAACTCTCCCCAGATTGGGATTCCTGGGACCCCTCCCCAAATTGGGACCCTCCAGACCCCTCTTGAAAATGGGACCCCCGAGACTCCAGACCTCCCTGTCCCAAAGTGGGGACCCCTCCCCATCCCCTCACCCACCTGGGGTCACCTGTGTGTCACCTTGGTGTCACCTGGGGTCACCTTGGGGATCTACCGTGGGGTTCCCCATCCTTGTGGCCATCTTGGTGTCACCTGTGGTCACCTGTGGCCGCCTGTCCGTGTCCCCAAGGGCATCGCGGGCACGGACGTGGCCAAGGAGGCCTCGGACATCCCCTCACCCACCTGGGGTCACCTTGGTGTCACCTGGGGGTCACCTGGGGGTCACCTGGGGGTCACCTGGGTGTCACCTTGGTGTCACCTGGGGGTCACCTGGGGGTCACCTGGGGGTCACCTGGGGGTCACCTGGGGGTCACCTGGGTGTCACCTTGGTGTCACCTGGGGGTCACCTTGGTGTCACCTTGGTGTCCCCTTGGGGATCTACCATGGTGTTTCTCATCCCTGTGGCCACCTGGGGGTCACCTGGGTGTCACCTTGGGGATCTACCGTGGGGTTCCCCATCCTTGTGGCCACCTTGGTGTCACCTGTGTGTCACCTGTGGCCACCTGTCCGTGTCCCCAAGGGCATCGCGGGCACGGACGTGGCCAAGGAGGCCTCGGATATCCCCTCCCCCACCTGGGGGTCACCTTGGTGTCACCTGGGGGTCACCTGGGGGTCACCTGGG